CCCCAAAACCCCAAAACCCCAAAACCCCAATAAACCATATTTTAGCTCTGCTATTAGAATTAGAAATAATATAATAATCTAAATGAATTTGTAAGGAGTAACCAGACTTTAGAAGGAATACAAGCAGATAGCTTAGAGCACAACTATTCAAAACTTTGTGGCAGTCCCAGATTCTAAAAATATCTTCGAGTGGCATTTTGTTGTGTTTGATTTAAAGGATTGCCCTTATGAAGGTGGGTTCTATCACGGAAAACTTATGTTCCCTGTGGAGTATCCAATGAAGCCACCTGGAATATAAATGATCACACCAAGTGGCAGATTCTAGACAATGACTAGGATATGCCTGTCAATATCAGATTTCCATCCTGAGACTTGGAATCCTACCTGGAAAGTTGAAACTATTTTAACAGCTCTGATCAGTTTCTTTAATAGCGATGAGAACACGACAGGATGTATATAAACCTCAACATATCAGAAGAAATAGTTTGCATATGCATCATTAGCTTGGAATTTAAATGATCCAGACTTTGTGAGATATTTCACAGCATTATATGATAAATTAGGCATTCATGAGTAAAAAATATAGGAAAGTGAGGTACAGTTGAAGAAATAAAAGGAAAAAGATAATTAGATGAATTTTTTTATCTTTGCTATGATTCTTATAGTAGCCTCTTACTTTATCGCTCAAAAGTTCTGATTAATTTACTTAATAAGGTCCTTATCCTATAATTATATTTAATTTCTATTAATATTGAAATAACAAAATGTCAAGCACAAATCTATCTGCATTAGATCTGCAACACTAATAAGAATTTAACCACATTCTTAAATTAGTAAGAACATAATAGGGTTCTTTTAAAGATGATATCAAGTTGCTATTATCACTTAAATAATAGTAGAAAGACTCTAACAGTGAACAGTTCAAAACTATTTAAAGAGATATGCTTCAGAAAATTTTGATACTTAAGAGCAGTCAAAGATAGCTTTTTGAAATAGTTGAAAACACAAAGAGAATCTCAGAATAGGAGAGAAAGGAGATGGATATGCATAATCTCAATTTGTAGAGTTTACTCTATGAGAAGGACTATTTCGTTAAAGAAATTCACTTTTGCAAAGAATTCAAGACTCCTTAGCTTCAATAGGCTTTAAAGCCTGAGTTGTACGAGAGTTTTAGACGATAAGGTCCAAATGTGACTGAATAGCAATTCAAACAAAATATTCAGTAGTTAGTAGATCAGCTTAAAGAAAGAAAGGACTTGAATCAAAAGTACATTCAAGTGAAGTAAGATATGAAACAAGTGGAGCACGAGTATCATAGGAAATCTAAACTTGTAGAAGATTTCCCACAAATTTTAAACACATTAGAGAACGCTACTCTACCTTTATAGGAATACCTAAATGTAAAACTAACTGAAGAAAATCAATTAATGACTTAAGCTAGTGATTTACCCTTACCACTTTATACACTGTTCAAAAAGCTAAACAGTTTCATTAAGGAGTATCCTTAATTCTGTCTAGATCTATAAATCAAAGGTGAGTTTGACTAAATCGAAGCTATATATGATAAGTATGATGCCTAACTTCTCAGAAACCCTAAATTTCAAATAAAAGCAAATAGAAGCAGACTAAATGAAATTATTGAAAATGTTAATGAGGAGACGACTAATCAGATTTAACAAATGAAAAGAGATAAATCTCCATCAGAACTTTAAAGCAAGAATAATAGCAAATCAAAAGGAGCCAACGAATAACTTGTAGAGAAAAATATACCAGGTATTTCTGATAGTTCCAAGAAAATCAAGAAAGACAAGAAAAAGAAGAAACCATTAAGAAGCTCTTCCAAAGGAAAATCTTAGCTTAAGTAGGGCTCAAATTAGAATGATCAAGCAGATGGTAAAGAAGAAGGAGAAGAGGAAGAGTTAAATCATGAGTCAATAAATCTTGACCAAGCTTTCGACATAGATGAAAAGCCTAAGAAATATTTGGCAGATGAATTCGAAAAGTTCCCATTATACTTGGAACTTCAGATTCTCTCAAATCCACATTTCTTCGATTACTAGAAGCCTTTCTCATAAAGCAATATTTATTCAGTCTCAACTCTTAGGGAGCAATCTAAGAATGAGATACTTATTACCCTTTTCCCTTGTTTCATGAGAATCTATCTTATCCCTTAACTGAATGTGCTCAGTATTGAATTCAAGAATAAGGCATTTACTACTGATGATATCCTAGGAGATCTTAACTTTGACGATTCAGGAATTTAAATATCTCTTAAAGAGCTCTAATTAATCAATTCCTCATCAAAAGAGAGAGTCTATCAATGGCTTCATAACTGGGCAGGACTTTATCTTGATGCTCAAAAGCAAGCAACATCTTTGAATAAGCCGGAATTCATGATGAGAGAGAGTGCCATTAATTCGAATGAGGATTAGATAGTTTCAACAAAACTTCTTTTCTCTAAAATATGGCAGCGAATGATTTCTAGATCTATTCTCAACATCTAACTAGAGAATTTTTAAATTAACAGAAATTTTCTTAAGGAGACAATAGCTCTATTTCAAAATATCAAAGCAAAAGTGCAATTCAGCTAATTCAAAACTAAGATAAGAGAATTCAAGAGGAAATCTCTTAATCAGTATGAGATGATTATAGAAAAAGATTCCTAGAAGATCAGTGTAGCAATCTAAATTCCTTTGAACTACCCAGAGCAACCAAGTTAGTTTAATCTTTAATCCTCTTAACCAAAGCCCTTTATTCAATCATTTGACAACTTACCAGAGAATCTGTAATCAAAGATAGATCCCAGAGATTTTAAAGCAGTTGAAAACTTGAGAGATAACCAATAATCTTACAATGCTAATGGTGAACCAATTAAACCATTCCATGATGCTATTGAAGATGAAATCAATTTAAGATTCGAAAAGTATTTCAACTACTCTCTTCATGCTGATTACCTTCTTTCATTCTAGGTCTACATACTTTTCTTATGCTTGGAGCACGACCCCATTCAGATGAAAAAAATTTGCCTAATTAATTTTAATTGAATATGGATTATGCTTAATTTCGATTAATCAAAAGTATTACTCTCTCTTGTTTCATATTAATTCTTCTTGGGGTTTTGGGGTTTTGGGGTTTTGGGG